GCAGGGGGCCCATCCTGGCCAAGCCACCCTGATGGCCAGCCCCTGGCTGGGCTGTGCCCCGTGAAAGGGCAAGGGACACCAGAGGAGAGTGTCCCGGGGCCCCATCCCTGCCACACAACAGTGTCCCACGGAGCCACGGGCACCCGGCACATCCCCAAAGCCTCTCTGGGCACCTGCCACCGCTGGGAGCCCCGAGCACCTCTGCTCCCTGCCCCGAGGGCGGTACCGTGCCCTGACCTGAGGGGCTCGGCTCTTGCTCCGCCTTAGAAACCCCCTGGCCATCTGCCCCATCCACCATCCAGCCCAGCCTTCCCCCGGCACGCTGCACTCACCGATCGCCCAAGGCAGACTGCAGTGGGGCTGCCTGGAGATGTCCCTGGGGACAGCTCCCATTGTGACTTGTCCTCTATGCTGTCACAGCCACCAGAGCAGCATCACCCAGACGGCAAGCCCCAGCCTTCCACCCCACCGCCCGACTCAGCGGGGCCCGGGCAACACACCGAGTACAGACCTGCCCGGCAGGAGCGAGCTCCCAGGGGCTCTTTGGATAAAGCGGGCAGATGCCCCCCAAAACCATAACAGACATGAAAACGGGGATGGCTCTTACGCTTCTGGGCCACCTGGGCACACCGCTGGCTCATATTCAGCCAGCTGTCAACCAACACCCCCAGGTCCTTTTCTGCTGGGCAGCTCTCCAGCCTCTTTGGGCCCAGCCATCCAGTCAGGTTCAACAGTCAGCCACTAGCTAGTGATAAGATAACTTTCTTTAGAAGAGAGAGTACATTGTCAGAGGCTCAGGAAAGCCTCCAGGTCTTTAGAAATGGCAGGCCTGAACCACAGCTTACAAAAACCAGGAGGCTGTGAACAGTCCCAAGCTCATGCCTGGTCTCTCCAGGCAGGGTACAGACTCACCTGTGTGTTCCGACCCCCAGGTCACTCAGATTTCCAGCGCGACAACAGGCTGGGCACGGAGAGCAGAGCTGGCCCCTCATGTATTTTATTTTCTC